CGGCAGCGTCTCTTGCAGCAGAGGCCTGGCTACAGAGTGCAGGCTCAGCAGTTGTGGCACATGCCTTTAGTTGCCCTGTGGCCTGTGGCTCGTGGAATCTTCCCGAATCAGGGCTCAAATCCATGTTCCCTGTGTCAGCAGGGGGATTCTTATCCACTGTACCACCAGGGAAGTCCTGTTAATAGGCTCTGGGTTCAAAGGGTGTCCCGGCTGCTAGGTGAAGGGAGGCTACCTGAAGGCCACCCCCTCTAGTTCTTCCACACCTGGTTCCCTCAGCTGATGCGCTGGTGACAGGAGGGACAAGGGGAAGGGGAGGTTGAGATAGAAGCTGGGGTCTTTCTCACACTCCCCACTTACACAAAACACATTTCTAGATTACTCTGTATGGAGGAATGTGGCTTCTCATGTGGCATAGTGGTAAAGAATCCACCTGCCAATACAGGAGACACGGGTTTGATCCGTGGGTTGGGAAGATCCCCTGGAGGAGGAAATGGCAGCCCACTCCAGTACTCATGCCTGGGAAGTCCCACAGACATAGGAGCCTGGTGGGTCACCGTCTATGGGGTCACAAAGAGATACTACTGAGCACACACGCATATGGAGGAATGTGCATATAATTCTGCCTATTTATCACAGAGTTAAAAATGTTGTTAATGAGGGAGATTGTAGGAGAAAGTCACTCTTCAGGTTCAGGTCAAATGAGTCAGCAAAGAACTTCCCGAAGCTCACCACCCAACTTGATAATGCCCGCATGAAAGCTGAGGAAGGTGCAGCACCATCAAGCCTGTGTAAAGGTAGCCAGGTCTCAGGTATGGCCCACAGAGTGTGTCCCAGGACATGGCAGCACATTCTCAATGACACAAGTTGGTAGGTCTTGAGGGTGGGTGGACCCTGTAGTGAATTTGTCTCTCTGTCCTGAACTGGCCTGGGCGCAGCCTGAGGTTGGGGCTCAGTAGACATTTTCAGAACTAATAAATGTCTTTCAGCAACCATGCACTTTTCTCTGAGGAAACGCGATATGGGACATACCAACAGAAAATTTAAGATGAAACTGGTTACAAAATTCTTCCTTTGGTCAAATAATTCACTGTACTGTAGTTTTCCTTAAAAGTTGACTACTTATGTGGCGGTAAGGAATCTCCCTGCAATGTAGGACACGTGGGTTTGATCCCTGGGTCTGGAAGATCTTCTGGAGAAGGAAATGGCAACCCACTCCAGTATACTGGCCTGGAGAATCCCATGGACAGAGGAGCCTGGCGGGCTCCAGTCCATGAGGTTGCAAAGAGTCAGACACAATTTAGCGATTAAACAGCAACGCTTCTGCAAAAGTTCAGCTCAGGTGGGAGGAAAGCACCCTGCGGTCACATCTCGCTGGCAACCCAAACGCCCATTCCTCCCTACCCTTTCCTATGCACTGCCTCTGTCTGCATCCCCTGAGCTGACCCCATCAAGGCTTTGAGCGTGGCTTCTGAGTGTATTCAGGATTTCCTAAGTGAAGAGCATTTTTTCCTCAAGGAGTCTAGTCATCCTCTTTATTAGGACACGGTACTAATTTGCTCAGTAATAACTGAGCGCTATAAAACCTGATATCGGAGCATCCAATCTGACCTGGCCAGCTCCACAAGCCAGTGCAACAGGCTCCAAACTGCAGTGGCTGCAGAACCTGCGAGACAAACAGGGTGACGGTGGGGAATTTCTTACTCAAATCCAAGGAAGGCGCTGCTGGCCGGACCAGAGGCTGAGATCGCTGGGGCAGACGGTGCTGACACATTTCTCTGAAGTTGTTCCTAAAAAATGCAGGTCCCGGCTTGTCCTGCCAGGGTCAGCCAGCAGGTGAGTAGAGAAGAGATATGCACCGTGGTATGAAACAACTGCTCGTTTTGGTTTCATCTTTCAGTAGCATGAGTATTTTCTACAAATTGGAAGGAATTCCATCTTTGTTTCATAGACTGGCAAATGGGTCTTAGGAAGCTGAGTTACTCACACAATATCCCACCAACCTCTTGACCACAATGGAAAAGAAAACCTATTGAGAATTTCTAACATGCCATGAATCCAAAGTATTTTCCACAGTTTGTATAAACAATACTAACTCAAGTTAACTGTAAAACTCTTTGCAGTTTGCCAGCTGCTTTCAAATATATTCTCATTTAAAGGTAACTAGGGCATGTGAAGAGCATCAGCCATAGAAAATTTTGCTAAGATCCCGCATGTTGCATGGCCATGGCCACACAAAAAAAAAAAAGAATTTTTTTGCTAGGACATGTGACGTCACAAGGGCGAGGACTAAATAAAAAATTGTGGGTGTGTGGCCAGGGAAGAGAAGGGACTGGAGCATTGCTGGTTCCCTGGGAACAGCATCAACCTAGTGATAAAAATTGAAAAGAGGTCCTTTTATAAGATACAGTTTACCCATAAAAGGGGATAACAATAATAGTTATCTTACTGGGCTGTTTGAAGACTAAATGAGTTGATTTATTTAAAGTGCTTGGAACAAGGCTGGGCACATAAGACCACATGTAGTAATTCTATTGCAATTAACAGTAAAGGAAAGAAGGTCATTACCGACAACATTTAAGAACCTCTTAATGCCAGAAAGATTTTCCTGGGCACCTACATTCCCCCTCTTAAAATTGAAGGGTACCAAAGAAAGCATTAACAGCTACAGTATTAACATATTTTCACCTAGTGAGATAACCTAATGCAAAAAACATGGCTCATATATTAACTGTTTTTAAAATATCATGCCTATGAAATTCAGGTGTCCAGAGAGCATGCACTTCATTGTTCTAAATTCCACCTTAGATCCGGAAAACGAAGTGGCCTGAGAAAGATATACTTTGGAAAAATGAAAGCTGAGCATTTCTAGAGAAAAATAAAAGATTCTGTGTCAAAGCAAAGGGTCACACTGTCTGCTCTTTGCTGCGTGTGTGCCTTTTTCTCAGGCTACCCTCTCGATTATTAAAGTCATTTGGGTCTTTCTGTGGCCCACTAAAATAATGATCACAGTCTACGGGTGCTCTCCGTGAGAGCCACACTTACCTAGTCTCGCGATGTCACTGCCCTGGGTTTCCAACTCTGAGAGCTCCCCGCAGCCCCCCCCTCCTCTGGTCCTCCCACCACCCCCTGAACCCCAGATGACTGGTGTGCAGCTCCCTGCTGCCTAAATGCCCATTCACTTCCTCCTCCTGCACACAGTTCAGCATATTCTCCTGACTCTTCATTTTTATTGGTAAAGGAAGTTAAAGTAAATAAAAGGCAAAAAGGAAACAAACCCACCCCAGTCTATACACATATAAAGATAATTATCTTTAGGTTTCCTACATGGCCACTCCCTTCTGAAATTCTAGTTCCATAACAAGACAGGACAAGCAGAGATAACTTGGGCATGTGCCTTCTGGGAAGAAAAGTGACTTTAAAAATCTTTGGTGCTTTATTATACCGGACCTTGCTTGGAATTCTAAATGCTGAGGGCCACAATAAACTCAGAAACTAGACCTCATAAGAATTTCCCCTGTGGTATGTGTGTGTATACTTTTAAACAGTTAGCATCATTTGGAGTATTAGGAGACTAAAATCAAACATACTTCATACACTTTCTCCGTTTTAAGAATCTCAGGGCCATGCTTCTTCATATATAATGTGTGACCCCAGGGGTTCAAGTCAAGGGCACGAGTTCATCAGGTGGTGGTTGAGTTTTCATTCCTCTTATCCAGGAGCATATCTACAAATCAGGTGGAAGGCAGCACACTGCCCGCCCGTGTGCCACAGCCCCGCGGCTCCAGACAGGTCTGCAGGATGGGGAGCAGGCAGCCGGCAAGGGCTAAGAGGAAAACCGGGAACAGAAAATAAGAGGGGAGCAGGGAGGAGGGAGTGCAAGGGTGAAAGGATGCAGAAGAGAAGGCAGAGGTCAAGAGAACAAAGAGAGCGGAAGAGAGGAAACCACAGCGCTGGACCTCAAAACCCACTGCACTTTTCTTTTTCATTCTGGGTCCCAAAGAGGTGTCACAGTGTCTGCAGTTTTCCGGGGAAACCCGCGTGTGGAGAGTTGAACCATCACACACGCAGACACGCCAGGGTGTGTCGGGGCGGGTATAAACACAGGAGGTGACACCTGTTGGTGTGAGCAAGGCTGAAGGTATCTTTTACACTTTATGTAATATTCATTTATTTTATTACTATTACGGGAGTCTCAATCGTGATGAAATTAACTTCATAAACTTAAGAGTCTCATTGTTTTGTTTTGTTTAGCCTCCTGAGGATCTCCTGATGGTCAGAGGTGAAGAGGAGCCCTCTCTAGGGGATCTGTCCTCAGGGACCCCAGCTGGATACGTATCTGATGTCTGACTCCCGCTGAGGAACCACGAGAGGCCTCCTGTGAGAGCTGGGAAGTTAAACTGTCTTCACTGTCACCTCACTGCTTCCAATCTGCAGTCGTGGGGAAGAAGACCTTAAAATACACGCTGTCACTGCTCAGTGGGACAGCGAGCATTAGCGCAACTTCCCCATCACCACCAAACCAGACCAAAGCAACTCTCTGATTTGGGAATGTAATCATATAAAACCGACTTGGCAGAGACGCGTGGGTTGGCTATAGAACAAAAAGAACTCTCTGAATGCCTTTTAATCCTTTAATTAGACTAAGTCCTTCAGAAGCGAGCACAGTTCATTGTCACTGAAGGAAACCAAGAGCAAATACAGACGGTGAGAGACACACACGCGTGTGTGCATATAACGCTGTGCTCACACGGAGGTGAATAAATGTGCCAAAGGACTCAGAGTCTAGTGAGAAATTTATTTGTCTGTGACAGCCATGACGTGGAACATCGAAACGTTCTGGGAATAGGATTTGGGAAAACGTGGTGCGGGCGAGACGCGGCAGGGGCCAGGCATGTCGGAGGCGGTGCGGCCCCCCGGGTGAACCCGGCTGACGCCTGGCCGGGAGTCTGTCCCGGCAGCGCCCCGACACACAGGAGCTGGGAGGCGCTGCTCCAGAGAACTTACGTGGAACCTTTCTTCTTTTTCTTCCTTTTCACTGGTGTTTCATCCAGCGTACTACCCACTGCTGCCTCAACCTGCTTTGGTCCCCTTTCCTTTTCCTTCCTTTTCTTGGGCTTTGGCGGGGAGTCCTGCTCGTCGAGTGGCCCCACGCGACCCTCTCCAGCCCCAGCTGAAGCCCCAGGATTCTCGTCCCAGCGAGGGTCTCCCAGCTCACATTCCACTTGGTTTCTCTTCTTCTTGGCCTTAGGTTGGATGTCGTCGTCCACATTTTTACCTTTTGCCTCTTTCTTTCTCTTCTTCCCCCCTTTCCTTCCCACTGGGGTCTCTGAAGCCTCAGGCCCTGCAGCCACGCCTTGCGCCTTGCTCTTCCGCTCCGCCATGCGCCTGGCAAAGTACTCGTGGATGGTGAAGGCGCTGGTGGTCGTGCGGGAGGTGTCCGTCTCCTCCGTGGCAGACGGGCTGGGGTGGTCCTGGGGTGGGGAAGAGTGAAAAACGGTTATTTACCAGCTAATTACGCCTCACCACATCCAGGAGGCCTCCGCCCGGAGCCCCACACACTTGGCAGCCCGGAGACCAGGCTAGGGGACCAGGTCTCCCCTCCTCTCCTCCTCCTTGCTGGCCAGAGCCGAGCTGCGCAACACGGAACAAGGCGGCCAGATGCACCGGCTGAGGACTGCACAGGGCCGGAGGCCGGACAGGAAGACGCTAACCTCACAAGGTAGACGGCAAGTCACCTGGACGGAATTCTGAATGAACAGCTCCTGGGCAACAACACGATAAATGGCAACAAAAGTCCTAGAGGCTCAGAAACAAAGACCCTGAAAGCCCGGAGCTTTGTGGTGTCACCAGGACACCTCCTTCGGCTCGCTGTGGACACACAGGCTTTTGTGCCCTAACCCACAAGCTTAGAAACTGTGTGTATGCAAACCCCAGAAGCCACGCGCCAACCTGGGCCTTGGTGTGTCCAGGGCACCTTCTTTTCCCCCCAAAGGCAAAGCATGGCCCTCTGGCAGCCACTCGGGGGAGGCGCCAGGGCTGGGAGACCGGAGACGTCCCCTCCCGCCCCCCAACCACCGTGACCTAGACACTCAGGCTGTGTCTGTCCTGCTTCTAAATGGAGGAACTACTCACCCGTAACCACTGGGATTAACTGCGGTTTACAGTTTAATTTTAAATAAATATACTCCCAGTTGTAAAGCTTGAGAAGAGAAAAAAAAAAAACCCTAACTTAATAGGTTGGGGAAAAAATGAAATGCTAGTATCACACCATATAGGTTGTGGCTGGCTGGCAGTAAGGAGATGAAAAGGTGTGTGTAAAAAAGGAAGTAGTTTCAAGTAGAAGAATATAAGGACTGTGTTTTAAGTCAAGTCAGTGTCTGGAATAATTTTGCCCAGTCTTTTAAAATAAGCCATTAAGCAATTAAGCTAAACTTAGGTTTTCATAATTACCTGGGTTCTTCCTTCATATTCACTTATTCACAGAGGAAGAGATTGGTTGTCCGACCCTTTCCAGGTTGGAAAACAGTTTTCTAAATAAATCCATTTCCAATTGGAGTCCACAAATTATTCTGAACTTGGCGGGCAAAACTCTGTTCATGCAGCTGTCTTTATTACAACCAACACATATAACTGAACTACACATTTTCTTGTTACAGCAACACTCCAGACCCAACTCAGTGGCCTCCAGCCTGAAGCTCTGACTGACTCAGTATTATTTCAGTGGGCAATGGGGTTTTGAATGGCCATCGCCCCAGACAGCTGTCACCAACAATAACCTTACCAACAACAGCAAACTTATTTGATCAACACAAACCTAATTTTACTCAGGGCTAAAAACACAAAATCATGTAGTCAGTTTTTTAAACTTCAAAAGGTAAAATGTAGAACACCTTTTACCGAGGTGGAATAAACCAACTGAACTTTTTAAATGTTATCTATCAAAATAAATAAATAAATGCTATCTATCAGTATTCGATTTTGCCTGGAAGCCCAAGAAGTAATTTTGAGGAAAATTTAAAATTAGCTGCACAGGAGCCAAAAACAAGGTCACTTTGTCTTCTGGCTCCTCAAATGTTGAAAAAGATCTGAAGTTTTGCAGAACAGGATGAAAAATCTTAAGACTCTCTTGATCCCAGCCAATCCCACTCTCATGGACAAGAAAGGTCCTGCCTTTCATGAAATAAGGGCACACAGCCACACACAGCAAGTCTGTATGAAGGCGGCCTGTTTATATAAAACAGGGCTTATTTAGTTTCACAGTATTAAAGGAGTTTGTTTTATGTGGGCCAACTCCTCTGGAGCGTCTCTGTGTCTTAGGAGCTCAAATTCAAGTCATATCCTATGGCTCCTTACCTTGTTCACTCATTTATTACCTTTGGAATTCCTGCTTTTAACAGGTAAATCACAGGAACTAATTACTGGTATTAATCACACTTTTAGTTACTAGAAAATACAAGATCATTTTTGAGTCACTTATTGAATTCAGCGGGCCTTTCTAGTCCCAGAAAATAACTCTGCTCATAATCGACCCCTCTGGTGGAAGGATTTTGACAATCATGGGCCACTGCACATCAGGCTCAGCAGGGCATGGAGACAGGCCAGAGGTGCCGGCACCCAAATGCCACTGATCCCGAGGGGAGCGGGCAAGACAGCGACTTTCGGGGAGAGCTGGGGAACGCCAGGGGCAGCCTCCCACACTCCAAGAGCATATCTGATTTACAAACCACGGACACCAAGGAGGGGCAGGTTGCAAATCTGAATGCTAGGAGCAAGGAAGGGCCTGGTCTCATGTTTCATGCTTTTACAGATCCAACACCCAATTTTACTGCAGTGATTACAATTCTTGTTTCTATATTCTCAGCCACAAATGGGAAAAATGCACACTTGTTCAAGAAAACTAATACTTTTCATAACTGGTTGCTTCTTCAAAGTAAGTAAGTACTGAGAAACGCGCTAGATACTTTTTAGTACTGAAATAGAATCTACTCGCTTCTTCCCAGGTTTCCACTAAACACATAATGCAACCTCAAAAAAATAAATTCTGTAATACCACATGTGACTTACACTACTTCATAAACTTTAAGAATCCCAATTTGCTAGCAGCGTTCTAAAAATGAGTAAAGTAAGTTTACAATTAACTGGAAAACTTCCTGTTTCATACAAAATACTAGCAAGGGAGGTATGGCTAACTAATGATTTTACCAAATATCTGATTAACCTCAGGGATCTAGGAAACCTCTTCTTTTAAAATTCCAATTCCTGCTATTAACTAATGGAGAGCCTTAGATAAATCCCATATCTTCTCTGGGTCTCAGTTACTAAGCAAGTAAATAAGTAGATTAGATTCAACTTGAAAGTCTAAAGGCTACTGAACTCTGAAACGATGTTCGGGGGCAGCCACTCCCCTGGGCCACCGAGAGCAGAGGAGGGAGAGGGAGGCCAGAGAAGCAAGGAGCAGGATGAGCTCGGCTCAGAGAGGACGAGCACCCCAACTGCCAGATCAAGATGCAGAAGTGCCAGCAATGCACTCACAAGTCCACGCACAGAAAAATGTTTTATACCAACCACCTGCCAGAGAGCAGATCTAGTAATCCACTTAGGAGAGCAGAAGGGTCCAAATGCTATTTGCACTGAATAATTTGTAAGAATACATTTAAAAGAATTAACACTATATATTAGAAGCTAAAATCAATAAAAGCAAGAAACTGGGGTTGACTATTAACTGGAATATGAATCTATTTTAAACTTACTTCCTGGAAATCACTTCAATGTTTCTAAAAAAAGGTGGTAAGAAGATGTAACTTTTAAAATAACAATCCCATTTTGTACTTAAGGGTTGTTTTGGTTTTTTTAAATTATTATTATTTATTTATTTGGCTGCATCTTGTCTTAGTTGCAGGCTTCCCAGGTGGCGCTAGTGGTAAAGAACCCACCTGCCAACGTAGGTAGACATAAGAGATGTGGGTTCGATCCCTGGGTCAGGAAGATCCCCTGGAAGAGGGCATGGCAACCCACTCAAGGATTCTTTCTGGAGAATCCCATGGACTGAGGAGCCTGGCAGGCTGCAGTCCATAGGGTCGCACAGAGTTGGACATGACTGAAGCAACTTAGCACACACACAGTCTTAATGGAGGCATGCAAAGTGTTAGCTGCAGCATGTGGTATCTAGTTCCCTGACCAGGGATCAAACCTGGATCCCCTGCATTGGGAGCGTGAAATCCCATGGACAGAGGAGACTGGCAGGCTACAGTCCATGGTGTCATAAAGAGTCAGACACAACTGAGCAATTGAGCACACACACATCCCACAATCATCTCAGGTGCCTGAGAGATGCCCGTCACCTTTTCTCAGAAGAGGCTGTCCTTTGCTTTTGTTAGGCGCTCTCTCTAGAGGCTGGCCAGTTCAGTGAGCCATGTGCTCAGGCTCTCCTGGGTTCCCTGTCCTCCGTGCCACTCACACACCCAATCAGATGGATTAACAGTAAAAGGACCAAATAAAGAGGGTTCTCTTTATTATTCTCAGAAGACTGTTGTTAGTAATGTTTGAGGCAGGGAAACAGAGCAGTCTGGATGGAGAATTTAGAGAGAAGTTTAACGGCAGATGCACCTTAAACCTAAAATCTTACCACTTGTGATAAGCTTACAGTCCAGGATGAAGTTTAAAGGCAAAATTTAGCAACTCAGCCTTTCTCATGTGTCACGGCTGATCTTAAGTGACAAGATGATTGAAGCCTTTTGATTTCCACACCAAGACACAGAGATCACGGTGCAACAGTAATCCTTCAGTGAGCTTTTCTCACTGAAAGGAAAAGCAGACACCAGTGCTCCAGGGTGATAGACTTGGCAGTGGGGTCATTAGTTGTGAGTGCTGTGGCTTGTGATGAACAAAAGCTCACTTCCACCCTGGCCTGTCGTCAGCTTGCGCTGGATCCGTCTGGGAAGAGAGTTAAGAGAGCTTGGCAAGTGACGAGTTCGAAAGAACACTTGGCATATTTTCTAAGCTTTCCAGAGGGACAGTTCTGACAAACACAAATTAATTATGTCTTGATGTCATCGTGGGAGGTAGACATTGCACCCATCCAGTTAGGACAGTGATGAATTCTGGTCAGAAGCGATTTCATGTCCCATCAAGAGGAGGGCAGAGCTGAGGTGAGGGCGGTGCCTGACTGTGGGGGCACGAAACGCTCTGCCGACAGAGGGGGCGGAGGACGCTGCTGGGGTCATCCGCTGTGTTCCCTGCAATGCTCTTCAGACCCTCCGTATGCAGCCGCAGGCATCACTTCCTTAAAGATCAAGTACAAAAGCACCTCCCCCCAGAAGCTGGTCCCTGGGGGAACGACCTCTCTTGTTTACTACCAGTGACTAGCAATTTGCTACTTTTACCTTCTGGTCTTGTACCGCCTGCTTTCTAAGCATCTTCCCATGGAAACTGTAAGTCCCCTGAAGGCAGGAACCATCGCTCTTTCGTCTGT